GTACTGTATTATTCTTCACTCTATTTCATTTCTCACTTTAATAAGTCACATTAGTAAGTCGATTAGTTTGCTTTACTAAGTATATTTTTATCTTCTTTCTGTTTTAATTCTCCGCACTCTAATTCTACAGACACATATTACATCCAGTAAATAAATGATATATTTTATTATCTAAGCTTAAACACGTTTAAAATACCTCCTGATGAGTTGATCACTTCGGAGAAATTCTTTCACCGTGACAAAACATACAATTAAAAGAATTGCGGGAAAGGAATTCGGAAAGGAAAGACAGTTACAAAAAACTAAGATGCTTTTTGTTATTTAAGATAAATAATATGAACCTCTCTTTTGATCCTAAAGTTGGTCTTCAATTATCATTAATTGAAAATTGTTTTCTCCCACAAAATTAGTATTGAACAAATATTTAAAGAAAGGGAGCCAAAAGATGAGCTCACATGGTCCACCATGTGCCTCAACATGACCTGGTTTTAGATAAATTGATCATTAGGGGAAATGCTTATAGGCAAACTAGCTGTAAGGTAGTTACTTAGAAAGCCATGGATGCCTGGATTCCACAGACCTGAGATTAATATTGGGAGTATTTATTACAAAAAATATCCATTAGGCAGAAATCACCTTGAGGAATTTGTTATATAGAAATAAATAAACAGAAAGATAATCAGTTTGTAAATATTTGTGCATAAGAATATTTATTGAAAGATTTGTAATGATCAAGGACAACAAAAATTTGCGAGTTATTGATATATGGGTAATAAATGTGTAACTAAATTTCAATACACCCACACAAGGCAACTATTCAAAAGTATGAGATCTATTTATGTTTATTGACTCCAATGAATGTATATGATGTATTTTTAAAGGAAAAATCAGATTGCATATTAACATAGATAATACTAATCTGTTTTTGTAAAACAATAAGCAAAACTTGAAAGTGTGTGTGTGAATGAGACAGAGAGAGGCTGAGAGTATGTGCAGTGGTTTCTGCGACCCCGGGGTTATCTCTGTTACGTGGGCAGAAGGGTATTTAAAACATAGGGTACTGTATCTCCCGTTATCTTTGTATAACTTTGGCTTGGTTCAGTTGCTATAATTAGCATGTGTTGCTGCTATAATTTACTGACATTTAACAAAATTAAAGTTTAAAATTGCTGTCCGAGGAAACATCAGCTTCGGCATCACTCCATCTCTAGCTCTTCTCCCTGCAGCAAGTTTATGGCTAATCAAGCAAAAGTTCTTAGTAACCGTCTGCCTGTAGTAATTTAAAGACTCCCCTGCCTAGAGGCATGGTATGAACTAGATGTCCTTCCAAGTCCTTTGTGATTTTGCACATACTTATATTCATATGAACATTTATTCATCTATACTAAATTATATAGAATTATAAGGCATTTTTTTAGCCTAATATTTTTCTTCTATTTAACTCTGTCTCTGTAGAATTAGTATTTTACAATGGAACCAACTGAATGACAGACTTTCAAGAAATTTTGATCTAGAAAATTTCCATGAATGCATGTATGTATAAACTGAGAATCCTTCATTCCTCATACACATACCTAGAAATAGCAGAAATATATATATATATACACACACAAATTGAGGTAGAAATAAAGATGATGTGAGAAAATAGTGAAG